CAAGTTCTGAATATGAGTTTTATGTTTCGAGGAATTTTTCCAACCATTAGGTATGATATAAAATTATTAAAACTAAAAAAAAAACAGAATTTAACCGATCAGACGTATTTTTCGCTTCCGGGAGTAGTTTCTGCTTGGAAAGGTTGTTTTTCGTAGATATAAAATTCTGATATTTTTTTTGGTTATCACTACTTATAATCTCAGTTCAAAAAACCTCAAATTTTATTCTTAAAAGAGTCGGGCGTTAAAGGGTTAACGTCTCGAAAATGTTAAGAATGCGGGAAAAAATTTAATCGCCCAAAGCAAAGTGAATTTTCCGAGCGTCAAATTCTCTGCAGCCCCTGAAGATTCGCGAAGCGTCCTCTACCTATTTCTCAGCCACATCCTTGACGTATTCAAAAAGAGTCTCACACCTCCTTCGATGCATTAAAAGAGCGAAAAGCTGGGAAGGTCACATCTTCGACGCATTGAAAAGATATAAAATGGGACCAAGTCGTCTTTATTGAAGAAAGAGAGAAAAATGAAATGAAGGGGTAAAGAGATGAAAGAATGAACTGGGAAAGAGAGATAAAATCTCAGAAGGGCCCCGCACAAGCCTCCCCCCGCCCGATATTCCGCCGTCTCTCGCCTCCGCTCGCCGAAACACCCTGTGAGGTCCTCTTATTCGTACAGCGACGGCCTCTAAGGTGACGTAGTTTCGTTTGCATGCAAATCTTTTGCAAAACGTCAGTTTTGCGAAGCGCGGCTGCGAGCAGCGTCGCCGTAAACTGCTTACGGTAACAGGCGGTCGCCGGCGCGTCGTCATCCCTGTAGCCGTAGCCGAGCGTGCGCGGCAAAGAACTTGATCCCTTTAAGGACACGTACGTGGCATAGGAGCGGCAGGCGGCCGTTAAAGGCTTCCTACCGAGGATGGAAAGTCGGAAATTTCCCCGCGGAAATACGTTAACGCGCGAGCGAGTGCGCGCGCGCGATATCACAAGAGAAGATTCATTAGGTTTTCTTCGTTATAATACCCGACGCATTTCTCTTCCTTTCCGTCGACCGTCTCTTCCGGAGAGACGTCGGACCGTCGGTAGCACGAATTCGCGATGGCTCTCATTTAGCTCCGAGGACCGGGGCGAATTACGTTGAAAGGATTCAGACGTGAGCGGAGAAAGGGGGGAGGGGGATGGAAGGAGACGAGGAGACGTGAGAAAAAGTGTCTTATATTACGCGGGTTTGTTATAATACTTCCGCGTTATATCGCGGAAATTTATTACACGCTCGTGAAGCGTAACAGATTCGCGGAACGGACTCGTCGGGAGCCGGAAGATCCTCGCGCCATCGGAGTCCTGTCGTCTCGCAATGTATCGGGTCGCGCAATTTCGGTTTATTCGAGTAAAATCCAACGGTTGGATTTTCCCTCGCGCGATTCTTCACGCAACAGCAGCAGCAGCAGCAGCGGCAATAAATAATTTCAGATTTTTTAGGCAAAGCGAAAGGATTTTATATTTATGTTGTTATAATTTTACGAAACAGTACTTGCGCCGTTTTGACCTATAAACTTACGTCATATTTCGCACACGTTGCTTCGTAAAATTACAACGACGTAAAAATATAATCGTTTCATCATAGCCGAAAAAAATCCGGAATTACTTATTACGCAGCTTACGATCTGCACCGCCCACGGAATCCTCTCTCTCCTCCTTTTCTCCCCTTTTCTTTTACATTAAACAACAATCAGGATCCACACTCGTCTCCGAACGAGTCGTTCTCCGAGCCACTCCAAAGCCATGCTTTGATTACAACTTTTTCTTTACCTTCGCTTTGTCTTATAATTAACCTCCGCCGTGGGGGCGGAGAAGAAAAGGGGAACGAAGGAGTTTTTATCCAGCGAGGAGGCCTCGGTTCGAGGGCGGCTCGGGACATTAAGAATTTTCTTAATTCTCTCACGGCACCGCCCGCGACTTCGGCGGCAACGTCCGCCGAAGTATCGAAATACCGAGAACAGCGATCATATCTCGCACTTTGTGCACACGGCGGCTCGGATTATCACGAAACGGTGGGAATAATTCTGTATAATTTCCCGTCGCATCGGCCGATATTATTGCGACGAAATTACGTAGACTTCTCGCTTACTCGAGTCTTGTTAGCGTAGCTACCGGTGAAATTATTTCGCGTGGCCCGTCCTTAAGAACCCGCGACGCAGCTTTTACTCGTATAAATTGTGAGAGGAAGAGAGAGAGAGAGAGAGAGAGAGAGAGAGCCGCCGTCGCCGTTTCCGCGAGCGAGCATGCAAAAGAAAGAAAGGCAAGGAGAAAGAAGGGAAAAAAGAAAATAACATAAGAGTACAAATCCTCAAAGAAGAGGATTCCGTTGGATTAAAGTGAGAGATAAAATTCAAGCGGGCGACAGGACAGAGGAGAGGAGAGGAGAGAAATATTTGAAGATTGCTCAGCCAGCCGCGGCTCGGCTATTTCGAGAAACGAGGAAACGAAAAGCGCCTCTGCGCGCCTCTCCGTCGCAAATATTTCCACCGCTCGCGGAACCGGCAAGTTATTAACCCCCTTTAGCACCCTAATACGCCACTGTGTCACCATTCCGCCACCGTGGAGAGACGACGACGATGACGACGACGACGACGACGACGACGACGACGACGACGACGACGACGACGGCGACGACGGTGGTGGCGACGGCGACGTAGTAATTAAAGATTGCCGCGAGCGTAAGAGCGGCATTTCGAGAATCCGTGCACGCTGTTTTCATTACGTCCACTGATATGCAATCGCATGATTACCTCCTCCGCAGATCTTTGCACAGACGCGCTTTATACCGAGCGACCTGGAAACAGGAGTCCGAGAGTCTGGCCGGAGGGGGGAGGCGCGCACGTGTTTGTATAAAAGAGAGTAATTATTCGCGAGAAGACGGACAAAACGTCCACACTGAGCGCGGAAATCGGATTTATAATAATTATTCATTAGGTCTTTATCAAATTGATTTGTTTGTTCATTCATCTGATGCTCTTCTAGGAAATTCGTTTATTAAATTTCCTCTCACTTTGCAGCACCTTCGTTTCTTATACCCGTTCTGCTTAATGCAATTTTATGTAAGCCAAAAGTAATATGGTTACACATAAGGAGAATACATACATGGAATATACATAAAAAAGCCGGACGTAGCGTGAGCACAAAAGATGAAGCCAGTGGAAAATGGAAAATAAGTATAACAAACGAATCGCATAAAGGATTAAGTTATAGAAAAATAAACAAGCAAGTTAGTTGGAATCTAATGCATAATTGTTGTAACACTCTCCCGATAATAAATATTATTATTATTATTATTATATTATTGTGACTGTTAAGAACCATCGATTTCCAATCGTTTCAAGCGCGCGAAAGTATCGAAGAGCCCGTGACAGGAGAAGTCGCGTTTCATCCCCAACGCAGTCGCGATCGTGAAGTTGATTTGAAGCGACGACTTTCGACGACTCGTTCGCGCTTTGCCGATACTACGCGAGTTGGTCCGTACTTCTCTTCTTGTCCCAGTCGCACTCCGTGCAGCCGTCGCACTTGACAACGGTACTAAGAAGCGCAGCCAGCTTCTGTATAATTACAGGTAGACTGAGGCGACCGCATTATATCAGCGGGTTCGCGCGCGCCTCTACGAGCAAATCCTCTTAACGGCATCACTTGCACACTCGCACACCTACGCATAAATGCGCGCGCGCGCGCGCGCACGCACCTGCCTGAAACATTCAGGCGGCAGTTTCAGTGGAGTACCTCGCGCATTAATACATCTATTATCTCGCCAAGGCGCGACGCCACGCTCGAGTTTATGGAGAAAGATTAGTGGGCGGTGCGGATCCGCAAATTCTCGTCCGCCGACGACGGTTCCGGCGAAATTTTCATGAAATCCTGCGATGTTATCGCGAAGTGAGCAAGTCGTCTTAAGAAAGAAAGAGAGGGTGAAGGGGGAGTCATCAATTAACGTACAAATTTAACTAAAACCTAAGACGTTCGAAAGGAATACTTTCGAAAGAGTTCGAGTTCTGTTGAAAATCCCATTAAACGCGAATAAACGAAGATACCGTGAAATAATCATCATCGATGTTACGTATATGGAAAATATTTTATAGGTTTTTCCTTTTTATGTAAACGCCTTACAAGTCCAGCATATTTTCCAATAATGCAAAAATAGATTGACAGTAGAGTTTACCTTGCTATAAATTTGCCGACAGCGAAGACTACATCCTGAGTTCTTGAAATACAGGATGACTCAAAAGTCGACTACCATTTCGAGTCCCGCGCGATTTTGGTAATCTGCAAAAGAAGTTTAAAACACATGCATTACTTATAAAAATATATATTTCACATCTATATAAATATATAATAATAAAAAATAAAAATATACGCATATAACAGAGCGTTTGATAATTCAATTAAACTGAACAGAAAACCTCACCTATCATTTTGCAAATAATCACATGAAACTTTCAGCTGTTAATTAAAAACGACGACGACTGATATCGCAAGGTAAATTGTGTACTAATTTCCTTCAATTAACAACTCAAAACTTTACGTGACATTTTGGCGAAATGGTAGGAGACTTTTCTCGCGATCGTTCTCGCGAATCTTCCACAATTAACGACTGAAAAATTCACACGGTCGCTCGCAAAATGGTAGAGGAATTTTTTCTTCACTTTGACCTGTGTGCGTATAGTTCGACGACATAAACTGTTCACAGGTCAGTAATCGATTTTTTAACCGCTCGGTATAAATGGTATACACGAGGAGGGACAATAAATTCAAGCGGAACGTCGACACATTTCCCAGTGGCAAAATACTCCTCGGTGACTTGATCCGAAAATTCTAAATTATTCCCCTGAAATATAAGATCGAGTCGAGCTCGAATTTCCTCGTCGGTCCGAGCAAGTCCTCGCGGCCGACCGAAAAGCAAAGCGGACGATTCGATCGTACGGGAGCAGGCTGCGTACACGAGCACCCCTGTCCATTTTCCAGCTTCGCTCGATGCGATGCGGGAAACGGAATGCGGCTCGGAATCGCTCGGCGAGGCTTGCCTCGTGAAACCGTCTGATCGCGCGCGTGCCGACAGTGCAGCCCGCAGCCCCCGCAGGCCGCGATCAACGCGGCTCGCGATCACGCGATCATGGATGTACGAGGATCAAGAGTGACCAGTGCGGGACCGCGGCGAGGAGTGCGCGGGCCGAGCGGGTGTCCGCGAAACCGTGGGCTCGAGGAAACTCGACTCGAGGGCCACCACGGAGGACAACTCCGGTTCATCCGGGATGCGTCAGACACGCGATAATCGTGCGTGAACGAGCCGCCGACACATAAGACACTTGTGATCAACGAAGGAGAGAACTCGCGAACACACTTCGAGCGGGGGAAAGCCGGACGCGCAGGATGTGACGTCACGACGTTAATTTCGCGACGACGACGACGACGACGACGAGACCGGGGACGAGGAAGAATCGCGCCGTCATAATCTCGCAGCTCGGCCGACGGGCGGATATTAATCCGACGGCGTCCGTATCCGCCTGGCGAGACTGCAACCTGACGGGTTTCGGGTCACCGCCGTTGGACAGCGGGAAACAAGTCGAAGAAAAACAGAAGAAGATGGACACCGAAGCGGAGCGCTCGAGGACGACGGAGCAACCGCGAGTGCTGCCGCGATCGTCGAGCACGCGTCGCGTGCCGACTCGACGCGCGCGCGTCTAATTGAAGGAAGAAAAGAAACAAGATCAAACGAGACCATGTCCTACCACGGCCACGACCTCCAAAGATGGCGAGCGGACGCACGCTCGCGATGACCTGACGGGCGCCAACAGTGACGACTCCGTCGCACGCATACACACCGAGAGCGACACCTCTTCTTCGACATCCGCGGCCTCTCCGCAGCAAGATGGCGGACGCGCGAGACGAGCGCAAGCCGCAGCGCGACCGGTGAAGGACGTCGCCTTGCCGAGGGTCCTCGGGAGTCCAAGCGGCTTCAGCTATCGGCTTGGTCCAATCAACAGCCAAGATCATCCCTATCCATCCAGCCAGCCGGCCAGCCTCGTTCCTACCGATCACCATCGCCACCATCATGCTGAACATCATGGCGGCGATGTCGACGAGCCTGCCGAGCGGCCGGCTGGAGCCGACCTCCTCGAGCATCATCATCAGCAACGCGAGCGACGCAGTGTCGAGTGCCGCGACCACCGCCAGCACGGCGGCGGCGGCGGCGGCGGCGGTGGCGTCGTCGTCGTCGAGCACGGCGGCGAACAACGTGACGGCGTCGTCGGTAGGCAACCCGACGGTGGAGAACCTGCCGGAGCACGTGAACGCGCTGGTGGTGGTGATCAAGGGCATCATCATGGGCAGCATCATCACCACCGCGGTGTTGGGCAACATGCTAGTGATCGCGAGCGTACGCCGCCACCGCAGGCTCCGGGTGGTCACCAACTGCTATGTGGTAAGCTTGGCGGCGGCCGACCTGCTGGTGGCGATGTGCGCGATGACGTTCAACGCGTCGGTCGAGCTGTCGGGCGGCCGCTGGCTCTTCGGCGCGATCATGTGCGACCTGTGGAACTCGCTGGACGTGTACTTCTCCACCGCCTCGATCTTGCACCTCTGCTGCATCAGCGTCGACCGCTACTACGCGATCGTCAGCCCGCTCGAGTACACGGTCATCATGCGGCAGAGCACGGTCGGCTGCATGCTCGGCAGCGCTTGGATCTTACCGGCGCTCATCAGCTTCATACCTATCTTTATGGGCTGGTACACCACTGACGAGCACTTGGACTTCATGGTCAAGCATCCGGAGGTGTGTGTGTGTGTGTGTGTAGTTATCACGTGCTGCTCGTCTCTTCTTTGTTCGCTCGAGTGCCCTCGGTGGCGCGTCGCGAGGCGCGACGTTGGGTATTAATCAATTGAAAAATCCCGCTTGTGAGCGAGAAGTAATCGGCAGATCAGTAACGATGAATAATTTAAGCGGAATTAATTATTAATCGGTGTATAATCAGTCGGAATAATCGCTCGAAACGGGCATTGCGCCATCGGAATTTGCTCAGTGTAATCAGAATTTGCTGTATGTTAATTTGGGAGATTTCAATCAGCCAAGATTTCCATCGATAATGCCCGACATTGCCGCGGAGATATCGGAGATGTTAATGATAACGGCGAATTCTTTCTCTCGACAAAAAAATCGCGTGTCCTTCTTCCCCTATTCTTGTTTATTTTATTCCATCGTCTCTACGGTTATTGTAGGATTAATCCTGCGAACGAAACGCGCCAATTTCTCATTGCACAAAGATAATAAAAAATAACGATAATAACGACGAGATGGAAAGACAATGATGCTGAAGATGTGACAAAGATATCGAGGATTTTGCAAAACGACGTTCTCAAGAGCAGCGAATTTCGCTCAAGCGTTATCAAATTTCACTCGCAATGTCCGGCCTAGTTCTTTCCTTTTTTATTGGAAATCTAAGAACTCGCAATAATCGTCGATTGAACTTTTGGCACCTTTCTAACACCTTCAATATCCTTGTACTGTCTCCGATAGTTCCGCAATCTCCTCGGTATCTCCGCAATATGTCTTCGGTATCTTCAATATATCTTCGATATTTTAGTAATAGTTTCGACATTTTCGTAATCCGTCTTCGATATCTCTTTGCAAGACCTCCGAGATCTTTTCAATATCTCCAATGCCCCTCTGTAATATCCCTCGCATCCTCGTAATGTCTCCGATATCTTTTTGATATCCTTCGTATTATCTTCCCGACATGTTTCTCGTACATTTTCGCGATCTCAAGCCGGACACATGTTGGTCGGACACGTTGGAGAGACGCGCGCGCGCGCTCATGGCTTTGTCACTTGGGATGCTATTCAGAGACAGCGTGTAAAACCGTAATAACTTTAACCCCGGCTTAGTTAGTCCTTCGACAGTCTAGCCTATCGTGGACTAACGATGAACTGAAGCTATGTTATTCAGAATCATTTTGTACCCGGTCTAAGGAAATTAAACCCTTCGGACCGCATTCGTAGTAGGATCTTATATTATTCAATCGCCTCAAATTTATCTTCAGATATTTCGTAGGCGATGAAATTGAGGGAATTGTCAATGCGCGACTTTTGAGGTTCGTCGTTACATTTTGAGAATTTTTTTTCTTTAATTCGCAGCAGTAAAATTATTCTCGATCGACACGTCAAATAAGATAAAGCGGAGTAGGAAGGCCACAAAGGAGAAAAGTTTCCCGACGGATTCGATGTTAGAAAGAAAGAACGTTATCGAGAGAAGATGCAGACGCGAACACGAATAAGGCCGAACAAAAATGTTGGAAAGAAATTCTTGATGATATCAATGAATATACGCCAGGGTATATACACGCGCCTGTAGCAGCTGGAAGATTAAACCAACCTTAAAGTACCCCCTACAAGCTAGGCAGTTTAAATTTAAGCTGAGTTTAATACAAGAACAAATCGTAAAAGAAACTGTCTCTGAATACAAATGTCGTTCAATCGTGGTCTGCTTAAACCAAGCTCGTCTTGTCTCTGAACAGCACCTTTGGCGTTTTCAACGAAGCGTGCGCGATCTCCTCCTCTCGCCTTTCAGGTGTGCGCGTTCGTGGTGAACCGTCCGTACGCGGTCATCAGCTCGTGCGTGTCCTTCTGGATCCCCGGGCTGGTGATGATCGTCATGTACTGCAAGATCTACAAGGAGGCGATCCGCCAGCGGAAGGCGCTCAGCCGGACGTCGAGCAACATCGTGCTCAATAGCGTGCACCACCACCGCTCCACCCGACATCACCATCATCAGCAGATGCTGCTGCAGGCCGCGGCCGATACCGGTGAGCTAGCTCTTCACACCGCGCATTTCACGGTGCCCACGGAGCTCCACGCCGTTAACGGTGAGTGGAACTCCGTCCGTCAAACTAAAACTCAGAGAGACCGCACGGCTCTCGTCGTCGTCGTCGTCGCCGTCGCCGGCACGAAATCGGGCGAACTCGGGGAGGCGCGTCGCATAATCGAAGAAACACGGAACGCTATTTATCCCTCGGGAGAAGTCGACAAATTTTTTCGATTAATAATTCCGAATAATTTCGATCGCGAGCATTAACGTGTTAATCGACTTGGACGGCGAATAATAATATTTATCGATAGAAAGTTTGGTTACATAAAGAGAACATACAGATGATCAATCTCTTCAGGGGTGAATTTATTAACTAGTTCACTGGTAGACCTGAAATCAACATTTCGTGTTGTCAACAAATCTGGTGGAAGCGAATAATTTCGTATTTTACATGGAGGCTTATCTGTAAGAATCTTTTTTGGGTCGCTGGTGACGAATCCGAGGTCGAAATTTCAAAATTCAAACAAATCCAATATGGCAGCTTCAAGTGACTAACTTTGATATTCCAATATGTGAATACGTACCAAATTCGGTATGTTTTTTTAACCACAGATAACGACTGTTAAATCAAAAGTTTCCACCAATATATTTTACTTATTAATAACAGAAGTAAGAGTATCTATAATACCGTTAATCCAGAATACTGTTAATCAGGAGAAGTCATCATATTGGATCCACCATTTTAAATTTTGCAATTTCGATTAGATTCATCGGCAACCCATAAAACATAAACATATCAAATGATCTTCTCCATAATAGAATAATAAAATTGGTCATTTGGAGCTGCCATATTGGATCTACTATTTGGGATTTTGAAATTTCGACCTCGGATTCGTTACCAACTTGAAAAAGAAGTCTGACTTCTCTGAAAAGAAGATTTCATATAGAATTAATTGGGATATCATCTCAATAAATATTCTTCAAAAACTAACAATTGAACTAACTAATTAAACAGTTGAATATTTAAACAGTTGAATATTTAAACGCTGCCATATTGGAGCCTATTATGAATTTCTCAAATTTTATTCCAACTTCCCGAAAAACACCGATGCATCAAGTTTGATACAAATTCATTGAAATTAGCTGTTCATTGCGCTAATTATCAGTTGTGGCATTTCTTTTTTCCGCTCATATATGAGTCATTACCAGTGAACTGATTAAGGTTAGAGAAGGAAATGATTTCATTCTCGAATGATATAAATATGACATCGGCTAATTTCGGCAAGTTATATCACGAGATTTCTCTCGTTCTTGTGAAATTTTCTGCCGAACGTTTGTTCACGTCGTAGTTTGTTCATAATGTTCGAGTTAAAACAGTAAACACGACGATGTTTAGGCTAGCATGCTAGTCTGTGTACTGCCAGTTGAAGTGAGAGAGTTATATCAATTTCCGGTAAGGAGGAAGTTGCAGGATCTCGGAATACTCAGCTCGCGTGTACTTGCTTTCTTCGTGTAGATCTTACAATGCATCAACGTAGCGGATTCCTTGAAAAATGTAATTTCAATTTGTCGCGAACGCAAAAGCCAGATATATCCGAAGAAAAGCGCTGCGCGACGAAATTATTTGTGTATTTTGTGTATTCAGAACGGGAGAGCGGGGTCTCTTTTGCACGTAGAAAAAAACGCGTTACAAAAGAATTATTCGGAGTACCGTGACTTCCTTCTTACTGTGAATAAAAGTTCCGTCCTCCCTTTACAAAATTCTCCGTTAATTAAACCTTCTCCGTCCAGATATTCATACGTCGATGAACGTCGGGCAGTTCTTGTGTATCGCTTTTATACGCGAACGGCTTCACGTCGGTCTGAATAAATCGAGCGCGAAGTTCCACATTTGAATAATTCGAGGGGAAACAGCGAACTGGGAGGTGGATGTGAATTCTGCTCGAAACGATTTATGATATTAGCGTAGAGGCGAAGAAAATGAGCGACTTTGCGAAAGAAGTTTACGCGACGCGGTGAATGCGTTATCGTTATCGTTCAGATTTTTCTCAATTATCGGAAAAGTGTCGTGTTCGAGTGATCTTCCCTTTTTCTTCGCTTCTGAATGGAAACTTGCCGAGGCACTATCCGATCGCTCGGCTGGATCGCTCGTGTATGCGCGCAAAATGCGAGATTTATGAGCTAATGCGAGCCCTTTAACGCGGTTATGCGATGATGAGCGGTTTGCAATTATCGACGGCAATCGAAAACGGTAGCGAGTGTGTCCGCCTGGACAAAATGAGATTTCGCGGTCCGTTAATAAAATCAACGTCTCGATTATTGCCGCGTTCTACGGGTGTCATAACAATCCACGTGGGTGGATAATTCGACGTGGCCGGCGGAGTCGCGCAATTTTCGGGAATTTATATCGCACGCGCTTCATCTATACGTGCATGATGTTTTGTCAAAAGATTCTTCTCCCGGCGGGAATTGTTAAATTATAAAACGCCGCGATGCGACGAAGTTAATATTGTTTCAATATATATGACTAAGAATGAATGAATGAATTAATATCGCAAACTGTATATATATATAATGCACATTATATTTCATATACACAATTAAACGATAATAAATTTACGCATGTGCGTTATGTACAATATCTTTTAATAAAACTTTTGTTATATATGTTTTTATATACACATTTATATTATATATTTTATATATCTGCAAACTGATCTATTTTAAATATCCGCTTAAAATATCTCGGAAGAAATTATTTGAAAATACTTGAGACAAAAGTCTGATCAAGTTCAGATCAAGACTGTTGTCTTACTACCTCCTTTTGAAATATTTTTTGAATAATTTATTTTTCCCGGAGTATTTTAAGTGGGTGTTTAAAATTAGTTATTTTGTGTATTATAGGTATATTATTATGGATATTATTATAGATTATAAATATAAATATATATACGATATATACATATATATATATATACAACCGATTATTTATGTAAGACATTCATGTTAGTGGAGTATCCGTAAAACCCGCTCGAATGGAGTATTCAAACGAAACGTTTACCAAATACCGACTTAATGCGATTGAAATGCGATAATGAAATGATTTCGGTGCTCTAACGTGATTTTCCAATGAATAAATGAATAATATACGCGTGAGCTCGTAAGCGCGTACGTGTGCCGCCGCGTTGAAACGAAAATCGCGCGTGCTTTTGAACATTCGGGCCGTTCGTCCCGACTCACATGTATTCGGAACGAGATTGCATTCCGCATGAATTACGCTCGTACACACATTACGGGCGCGTGTAGTAGTTCGGTATAATGCCGAAATCTAGCTAGTTGTCAGCGTAACTCGCCAGCCCGTTACGCTCGCGTCCGCGCGTCGACGAGTGTTTCCACGTGCTATCAGTCCGAACTTTTCCCACAACCGGAACGAGAGAGAGAGAGAGAGAGAGAGAGAGAGAGAGGGAGAAAAACAGGACCATATTCCGGAATAATTATTATGCGCCACACACGGGCAGCCTACATTCCAGTTTCACGCGCATCCGCGAGTTTTGCCGAAACAGACGGCGCGGCTCTCGTCAAAGTTCCGCTCCGGGTTTCGCCGGAAGCTGCCTTTCAAATCTCGCTGAAATCCAAAGTCTACTCTTTCAACGTATTAAAACCGGCACCGAGCTGCACTCGGATCTGCTGATCGAGGCGATTCGCGCGATGCATTCGCGAGGGTTTCGCGATGAATCTGCAGGTCGCGAGTATTTATCTCGACTCGGGATATTTCGCATCGAGTGAAAACCGACCGAAACCGCGCGCGCGTCTACTGTCGACACATTTCTTCGTTTTTATTTACTTTCCACCGTGCTTCCCCCCCCCCACCCCTTTGCCGCATGAATCTCTCTTGTTTTAATGCTCTCTTGTCTCATGCAGTCGTCATTTTCTCAATTCCACTGGAAATTGAGATTAAAAATGTGAGCTGCAGCGGAAGGACGGGCAAAGGCGATAACGGATATGACGGAGCTTGCGCGGAGAAGAGAAAAACTCTGCTTTACTCTTCGCTCTCTCTCTCTCTCTCTTTCTCTCTCCCCGTATTCCCTCCCTCACTTTCTTTTTCTGTACATATAGAAAGAATGAGTACGAGCACATCCACTCTTTTTCGCCGCTCTTGCTTTCTCTCTCTCTCTCTTTCTCTCTCTGTTTCTCCTCTTCTGTACTTTCGCAGAGTTCTCCTATCTTTCTTATCTCTTTCCCTCTTTCTCTTTTTACACACACATAGGATAGGAAAACTCCGAGGAAGGGCGAAAAGGAGAGGGAGGGAGAGGAAGAAAGAGCGGAGAGTACGAATACACGGGGGAGTAATCAACAGATTTGCATATGACTCCGGCATTTCATCGAGCGTTTTCATTAGCGTGAGCAGCTTTTATGCCGCTCGTACCGGCGCAGCCGGACCGTCTGAAAATCAAATTAAAGCCCATTTCAATTAAGCCTCATTGCGAAGCCTCTGCGACGGCGCTGGAAGGGGCCGACGATGCATTTTTCTCCTCCCCCCCCCTCCTTCTCGTGGCCGCATTGCGTTCTCCTTGTTGGGACGGTGGAGAGTGAATGCGGAAAAAATAGCGGATTATCCTGAGAAAAGGTAAACTCTCTCTCCTTCTCTCTCTTTCTTTCTTCCGAAAGCCGCGCGAACGATCCATTAATCGAAGCATACAATTAAGGAGCGAGCTTTTCTACGCGAACACGAAGTTCGCTTAACTGGCTCTTAATGCCGATGGAGAGAGGGAGAAACAGAGCGCGCGCCGATCTCGTTTGCGAACGCGAAACGTTACTTCGGACAGTCCTCATTTATATCGCTCGCCGACGAGGAAGAATTTAAAGTATTTGAACTCGTGTTTTACATCCTTACACCCCTGCGAGCTTAACTGCGGAAGATTTTCCGCGAGGTCGTCCTTTCTCTCCCTCATTCCGCCACAGCCCCTCTTTCCTTCTTTCTCTTTCCTCCTCCTCGTGCTCTTTCTCAAGCTCAGTCTTTTCGCGAATAGAGGAGAAATACGAACGTAAGAAAAATCG